TCCTATCCATCACAGTCACACAATAATAGTGCAATTGCAAAGTAGAGGTGAATTTCTACAGAAAACTTTTGATTTATTTTGCATGTTTGTTTGGTTTTTTTTGATAGAAGTATGGATGAAGATGCTAAAAGCCACTACAATAAGAAGTTAAGTGAATTCTACCCTGAGGACATAGACACAAATCTTTTGGAAGATGAAATGAAACATTTCATTCATTTTTATCAAAAATGATGAGGTCAGTGCTTCAGATCACCAGTTGATTTGTATGGACGTATACATGACAGTTTGCAGGCAATCTTTCCAAAGATAGAAACCATTCCAAAAATATTTTTAACAACACCTGTCACAAATGCTTCTAGAGAACATTTTTTTCTATCTTGAAACAAGTTAAAAATTATTTCTGAAATACGATGAGTCAGGAACATTTGACAAGCAAATGTTCAGTGTAGAAAGAAAACTACCTGAATAATTTTTTTTTTCAAATTGAATAAGTTTCTTCAGAGGAAGTTAGCTTTTATTTTTCTGTTCATGCATCAGCTATACATTTTATTTTTACATATTTTTCACGTTAGCATAATGCAAATACAAGCTTTCATCTAGAACAGAAGTTCCCACACTGAGTTCCGAGATGGACTGAGGAAAGGTTATTATTTTTTTAAATAAAGTGCTCTTATCCAAAGCATTTTACAATAGTTAGTTAATGGTACAAATAATATTTGGAAAGATCATTAAGTGGTCCACCTAGACCCTTAGCAATTTTCCAGTGGTCTATGGGAAAAAAAAAAAGTTAGACTACAAAAACAATCAAGGTACCTCACTTTATTTTTATTTACTTCTCATTACTTATAGTATAGGAGGAAGATAAAGAAAAAATAATGAAAAATGGGAGGGCAGATAGAGTGAATACTCTTTTTTCTGGCTGGATCCCCAGAGGCACCCCCAGAAATGAAGATGAGCACAGGGTCCCACTAGCTCTAAATATGGCACTGGAGTTTTAAATGTGCTTTTATCTAAAAAGAAGTGGGCATCAAGATTTAATATCCCATTGTTTGCTTAGGTAGCGTTCCCCAAATGGTGAGCCCTGATACACCATTGGGTCATGGAAAGTTCTAGATGGGTTGCAGGCCTGGTACAGAGATGAGGTCATAGGATGATGATGGGGGTTTGATAGTGAGCCATGTGCTCACCCACAATGGTTAAAATTTAGAGGCACTGTGCCCCATGCACCAGGTTGCACTGTTTGGAGTGAGGAGCTGGACAAGCACCATGAGACAGGCGGTGCATTGGCGGCTCTTTCTCCAACAGCCTCTGCCCCTTGACTTCTCCTTGGGCCAGGATGTGTTCAAGAAGATAAAGGTTGAAATAGAACGCATGCATACCGTAGGCAACTGACACCACTTGGAAGTGTACATTTTTTCAACCACAGTTCTATTATAGCACCAATATCATTACCCAAATCACATAGGATAGAATAATCTGGTGCTTCAAATTTTTCCAACTATTATTTAAAGACTGCATACAATTTTTTAAATAATTTCTCCTAGAGCTCTAAAACTATGGGAAGAAGAATACAGTTCATCTGATTTGTTTGACATACAGTTTCTTTTTGGACATGCTTCTCTGTCCTTTGCATAATTGGCAAGTATTTGATGCTTGAGAACTTCTTAGGGCTTGTCTATACAGAGATATTGACCAGAATACCTATTTCAGAATCTATTCTACGGCTATTTCAGAATAGCTCACCATCTGGATCCATTATCTAGAATAAAGATATTTTATCCTGGAATAATTAAAGTGCTTCCAAAATAAACTCATTTTTCTGGAATAAAAGTAACTTTTATTCTGGAATAGAATTTTCGCACAGGGAACTATTCCACTCAATTTCCCTATGTTGAGAAGCCTGTAGAGAGAGAAATTGCTATAATTCACAGAGAATATAGTGTATGAGAGTTTGAAAAAGAGATTAAAATCCCAATAATTTAATACTTAAAACAATCAAGTGGTTAATCTAAGTCAGACTGCCTCTCTATCAGGCTATTAAAACAGATCTGAAGCTGAATAGTTAACTAGTTAAATGCTGGTGCATTAAAGTTAATGATCTAAATTAGTTATTGGGATCAAATTTAAAATAAAACAATCTTAATAATATGGTGATGGTACTCTACTTACTCTCCCCGCTAACATGATTAAGAGTAAGATAAATTTGACTTTTAAATAAATCTATCATTAAATATTGAGATGAAGAGGTCTTTAATACCTCACATCTCTTGTGCAACTCCATTAACTTTGTAGGAATTGCACTAAGGATTAATTTTGTCTGTAAGAAAGCAGTGCATAGATTATCTTTGCAACCACAAGGTCCAATAATTTTTAAATGACAGTGTACATTCTATACAAATTGTTGTAGCCATCAGAGAAAAAAAAGTGTTTTTATATAATTCAAACAAGTACAACTCAATCCACACATATTTGGTACAGTTACTTTATTATTTATTGTTGTGGTATAATACTACCGGTGTACTGTTCACAGACAAATGGAAAGATGATATTTCTGACCTGTAGCACTTGCAATCCATGAATAGGGCTGTGTCTGTCGTGGAGGTTATGGAAGTTTGAGAGTGATACATTATGGTAGCTATCCCACAGTTCCTGTGTCCTTTTGATTCTGGGTTATGCTCCCAGTGCAATCTGGGACCAAAACTCTGCAGTTGGTGGTTCTGGGTACATGACATCAGCATCCCATAATGCATGCATCTCCTGCCTCTTCCCCTGTTTGTAAGCAACAGCAAACAGTCTATTTGCACCCTTCCTCCCTCCCCCGGTTATCCACACAGATGCAATAGTAGCCTAAGCATAGAATCCATCATGAATCCCATTGAGCACCAAAGTATTATGGCAATCATATTAACCATGGTGAGCCCAATGCTGGAATATATCCAGAGTGCATCCAGGGTCCACTGGAATAAGAAAGAATCTCGGGAGGCCATGAACATGCTCTTTTGTGAAGCACTTGAGCTGAACAACTGCCAATTGCCGTTGGCATTTGATCCTCTCGACCTGTGGTCCCCAATCCGGTGCCCGCGGGCGCCATGGCGCCCGCCGGGCCCTTTACGTGCACCCGCAGAGCAATCTGGGCTGGCCCTGCCCCCAGGCGTGCGGCAGGTGCCAGCCTCGGGTGCATGGCCGGCCCCGGCCCCGGGTGTGCCGCGTGTGCCGGTGCCGACCCTGACCCCCGTCACCGGAGGCGCCATGCCAGCCCTGGCCCCGGCGGGCGTGTGGCGCATGCTTGGCCCCCCCCCCCAGTCCCGTGGCCTGTGAGCGGCCCCGCCCCCGTACGCGCAGCGCGTGAGCGGCCCCGCCCCCAGGCTCCCGGCAGCCCCCAAATGTTGGGGACCACTGCTCTGGACACAGTGGAACGCTGGTTCTGATGCCGTGAAACAAGCACTGACTGATGGGACTGCATAGTGATTCAGCTATGGGACGATCAGAAGTTGCTGCAAAACTTTCACATGCATAAGGCCACTTTCACGGAAGTTTGCAAATTGCTTTCCCTGCCCTGAAATGCAAGAATACCAGAATGAGACCTACTCTGACAGTGAAGAAGTGAGTGGCAATTGCCCTGTGGAAGCTTGCAACACCAGACACCTACCAGTCAGTTGGGAA